ATTTTCTCAGTAAGGAGATCATAATAACTAGGCAGTGGATAGCACAGCATTGAATTATTCATTATTAATTAGCTTTAAGAAATATTATAAAACTAGCCACATGTTAATTTCTGTGTACGTTGCCAGCGTTTTACATCTGTAACTAGAGAGGGAATAGAATCCCTTTTTTGAAATGGCTTAATTGTTTATACTTCCAGAACTTCTTTTAGTCATCCCCAAAAGTTCATTGAACAGTGCTTAACTTTTGGGGGGCTGTTAGTCGTATTTTTGTAAACTTGTAGACTATGTAACACTGCTATCTTAAAGTATTCTTAAAGTATTTCTTGAAGTCACTGGTTTGGGTGTTGTTTTTTCCCCCCCTCCTTTAACAAATAAACATTTATTCACATATAGGAGCCTAGAAGTTCAAATTCAGGGTACCAAGAACTGTTTTTTTCTTTTTGCCATCTGTAAGCTCAGAGGTCCTTGGAGATCTCCACATGTCTGGGCCTTTCTCTGTGTCCAAGTCACTGTTTTTAATGTGTAGACTGTGGAATGTGTATGGTGGAGGTAGACTGTGATGTTTGCAAATCTGTATTTATAGCAAACATTTTCTATATACTGAATAATTTGTTTCATATATCTTTGTATTATTTTTTGTAACCACACTTCTATTAAACTTAAATGAATTTAAAATCATTACTTATGTGTAGAAGTCTTAATCGACAGACAAAGGAAAGGACAACAATGCTCATCTTATGTGCCCGTGGTTGGGGTTTGTTTTTTTATATTAAAGGAGAGTACTTATATTGAAAAGGATTGGGAAGCTCTGGTTTAAATTTTACATTATGCTGAGTATGCCTTTTATAGTTGCAGATTTATTTAGTGTTGTTAAGTAACACACAGTGTTATTTTAAAATATATGCTATTTCAATTTATTTCAGTTATTACACTTAATTTAACTGAAAAGCAAACAAGTATTATTAAAATCTAACACTTTGTCATATGTTATTTATTTTATGTATTCGTTATTTTTTCACTTGCTTGTTTTCTCCAAGCATTTTTACATCTGCTTGTGAGTAATTTTCCTACTTTGTTTTTCTTTCTTGAATGCAGTCCAAGGGAATATGACAAATTAAAATATTTAGTTAAAAAAAGCTTAGTCATCATTTATAGCCAAGTAAATTGTATGAATAACAAATGTATGAAATTATTTGTAGGTATTTTCATCTTAGTTTCTCTGGTATAAAATGATATTAATTTAATTCTGCCACTTAGTGTGCTTGTTTGAGGCCATCTGAAGCATAAAGCCTTTGCTTCTGTAAAAGTGATTTTCTCCCCCTCTTAGTGGAAACAGATGTTAACAAACAGGTGTTTGAAGCATTAATTTGATTTTTAGGATTTTCTGATCTTTTGAAATACTGAGCTGATCATATTAAACTGAAAATATAATGGCCTTTTATTCTTAAAGAACAATTATAAATTTATATGAAGCTTTAGTTGCTTGTTACTATAGTATTTTTATATTTGCTAGATAGGCTACATGCACCTGTGGAAATTAGGTGAGGCTTTCAACATCCTACATAATTGGCCAGATTTGAAAGGAAATACTCAGCATTGTTACATTTCTTTATGTAATAATGCTAGTTCTCCTCAGATTAGCATAATTTGAAAGTAATAATCAATGTGAAGACTAAGAAAAGATTTAATAGAACTTTTCTTGAGAAAGAGAAGGGTTGGCATTTTCTACAGGGTAGAAATTATAAGTTTACTGTACTTACTAACTAAACATTAATCTTAGATTGTTTTTAACTGTTTTTTAAATAAAATTATTTTACATATATTAAAAAATACTTTTGATAAAAGGTATCCAAATAGGCAACGAGGAGGTAAAATTATCCCTCTATGCTGATGACATGATAGTATACTTAGAAAACCCTAAAGACTCAGCAAG